CCCCAAAACCCCAAAACCCCAAAACCCCGAGTTTTTCCAGCTTGGTTGAGAATTAAGCTAAAATTTAAATATTATTTATAATAATGGGAGGAAAGAATATGGTAAGACACCCAATGATCAACCAACACTTCTTGGTTGTTTATATGAAGTGGGAAGATACTCTTTTATGAAACCAAAATATCTAGCATGCTAATGTAAGAGTTTAAGATGATTTAGAACATATCTGATTGATATTTAGTAGTTTTATGATCATCAATGCTTTTAAAAAACCTATCCATAAAACACAAAGTTTGCTTTTATGAAATAACCCGTTGATTCCGTATGAGTTTTATAGTTTTTCAAATTTCTAACTCAGAATAGCACTCACAGCTTATAATAAAATTATTTGAGTATCAAAAGTACCTACTATTGGTCCCCTGAGGATTTTATTGTCAATTTAATTCATTAGTTTACCAATAAATTTTTCTTAATCTTGGATAATTTGAATACTTTCTAAAATAATAAATTTTTATGACTTAGATATACAGACTGCTCAAACAAAACAAATTTGTTTGGAAAAGATTATACAAGTGCAAGCTTAGTTAATTTTGGTTGTTCAAACTAATTTTAAATTCCTTGTTGAACACCCGTAATCTCTGATGTATTCTTAGAAAGAAGATTTCATAAAAAATTCAGCTGTCTCAAATTCTCATAAATCATTAAAGAACTCGGTCACTTGTAATTTTCAATAGAAAGAAGTATGATTTTTATAAATTAGAAAAGTTAAAAAAATATGAAATATTAGAAAACATTCTTAAACTACTAGAATTTTTCAACTATTCTTAGAGCAGCTAGACTAATTTTTCATCAAGTTTTAAAACCCAGAATTTTAATCTTCCCTATTAAGAGTTAGCCATTTCCAAGCTTTGCATTGTTAGGCAGGGTAGAGGCATCGAAAATTTTCAATAGTTTTCACGCTAAGCCTATGTATCATGATCATTTCGGTTGATGTTTTCTAACATAATGGAAATAGAGCAAAATCCCAAGATTTACAAATTTTTCAATGTTGATAGCCACGATTTTATTTATTGGAATGGTGGTTTGATGTCCTGATGGAACATTTGAATACAATAAAGGATGCATGCCATGAGATAGCTCATGTAAGACATGCTCTAGTAACACTACCTGCGATACTTGCGAACCTTTCATGAGATTTGATTCAGCCACTTCGTTATGTACACACTGAGCTGATGGAGAATATTATGACGATACATATCTAATCTGTAGAAGTTGTCCTTCCACATGCACAGGAAAATGTAATTATAGAGAAACTTGTCTCTCTTGTGTTGCTGGTGAGAGCTTAGATCTTGATACCCTTACATGTATCAGTGATTGTGCTGCTTCTCAGATAAAGTTGGAGGGAAACAATCTATCTATTGATAGTGCATGCAGAACTTTGGCTTACTACATTGATCAACATAGCGATGAGTTATTGGAATTGGGTACAAAAGATTACCCATATAGAACAATGAAATCGGTTAGTTCAGAGATACTCAACTTCATGTCTCACAAAGAAGTTGACATCACTATATACCTCAAAGATGATGTGTACATGGAGGACAATACTCTACTGATAGTAAACATGACTGGAGTTAACATCACAACACATCCTGATGTTCTCTCACTCAGCAAACGTTCAAGGCTGATCCCTTCAAAATTCCCTCAGCCTGGTGTAAGTCAGAAGGCTAGATTCCATCTCCTCAAAACAGCTGATTTGCCCTACCAGGATGCTTTAGACGCCGGAAATTTCACAGCTACAGAATTAAGCCAAGCCAGTACTCCTACGAGCATAATGGTGATCCGGTCAGGAATCGCCTTCTCCTCTATAGATCTCTACAGAGAAGAGGTAGATTACAATGAGAATATCCTATTTGCTAGAGGGCTTTATCTGCAGAACAAAACTTGTAGTTTTAGTAAGGGAATAGGCTAATTGGTTTAGGCGATATGCTCATTAATATAACAGGAGTTTTCTGGGAGTCATATGATCCGTACAATGTGTAAGTTTGTTGAGGTTTTCGAATTTTGCATTTCTTAGTTGTTTGAAATCAATTTTGAATTTTTTTATGAGAAGGAACAAGAGATTTAGAATGATTTCGAGTTTTTATTTTTATGGTGAAATTTAAAATGCTTTTGGCTCAATATTGATAACCAAATTTGAAATGAGTCAACCAGATAATAATTTTCTTTGTCGAAATTTGCAACTTATTTTAAATTTAGATATATCAGGAATCTTGAAATTGATACATACAGCTTGTGGAATATGTTCTATGTGAGAATGCTTTGCAACTACCCTGAAGCATATAAAACTCCAACTGTAGATATTGACGGATTCCATTTATTTACGTCAACAGATAGAACGATTCCAAGAAATCCTCTAGGATTTGGAGCTAATATACCTGGAAATTGGACCATAAAAAATTTGATTGCTGAAGATTTCTATTGCCAAACTACTGCCCTTGCTGCAACGTTTTATTACACATTTCAAGACGTGTGAATCCCTGAAGATGATCTGCCTCAATATGGGCATTTTGAGAATTTCAGGATAGCTGTTGATAACAAATATGGAGATAGATTCAACTTGGTTGCTTCGGATATGACAAATCCACACTACAGGAAGACATATCAGAAATATATAAATATGCACACTCACAACTTTCACCAAACAACATTCATCCCAATGTTTTTCAATGGAAGCCCACTTGATGAATTCGAAATGATTGGATATAATTTCTACAACTCTTCTCTCCTCACTGATCTTTTTGTCGTCTCAGGCTTCTCCAAAGCAGTCATGGGCACTATTGACTCAGATCAAGGTTTATTTCAAAATATTACTTCTTTTTCAGGCAACCTAATGACTTTTGCTTCTGTAGGATCAATAGATATCAAAAATATCAAGATCTCAAACTATACTGGAGGACTTGCTGAAAGTATGTCTTTTATATCTCTTCTCAATAGTGCAGATACCCCAACTGCAATCGAAGGTATTGAAGTGGAGCAATCAAACTTCTTCAATGGTGGGATCATCACTATTCAGACAGATTTGGATAAAGTAGAGATAAAGGATATCTCAATCTCTAGTAGTACTATGCGATCTGGAATAGCTCTTTTCCAGATCAACACTATACGTTGTATGCTAGTATCCAATATTCTAGTGAGTAACCTTCATGCAAGCCTATCAGAAGATGAACTCTCTACTATTTTCAGAGTTACTGCTTTCGATCTTCAAGGAGACCTCAATTCAACTGTTGATACATTCTTGGCAAGCGGGTTAGGAGTATCCCTATTAAAATTTGGATCACTGGTGAATGAAAATAGTAACTCGAAAGAATTAGAATTTAAGGATTTTACTGTGAAAGATTCTGTGGTGTCAAGTTCAAGATCTATTATCTCAACTGAAAACCTCGAAACCACCTCCAACTTCCACCTGATCCTGACTAACCTCCAAACCTCAAACATCACTTTCTCCAGCACGGGAGATCTCCTTCTCTTCAACCATGCTCTCCTCCTCCCAATCACCATTCAAGATTCTACCTTCACCAGTCTTCGATCAGCTGCCATTTCCATTGTCAGCTCTCGGTCAACAGCTGGATTGACAAACTCAGTTGTATTCGACAACTGTTCCTTCACTGAGATCTATTCACCTGCGCTGTCGCTCATAAAAGTCTCTGAAGAATCAATTGCTTCCTTCACAAGGAGCAATTTCTTCAGAGTCTCAGTAGGATTTGACGTCTCTGGAATTATAGAAGTCACTGAGAACGCAGTGGTCAGGTTCAGAGAGACCAACTTTACAGAGAACTCAGCAGTGGTAGCCACCCTTCTGACTGTGCAAAGTGGAGCCTATGTGGAACTGGACACTTGAGTAGTGGCTAATAACTTTGCAGTAACCAATGGTGTCTTCGCTGTGACTAGTAATGGATATTTAACAATAAGGAGTTCAACTATTTTTGAGAATTCTGCTATTAGGGCACCGATTGGACAGATCTTTGATGCTGCAAAGGAGAGTGTTATTGACAATTGAAGAATCTATAACAACTCAGTCATTTCTCCTAGTGAGTTTGTAGCAGAAACTAGTGGAGGCTGATCCAAACTGTGATACTTGGATACATCTCTGGTTGCTAATATTATTGAAAACAAACTTCATGAAATAGATGAGGGATTTTATATCATTGAAATTTTATCAGGATCACTTCAAATCATCAACAATTCATTAATCACCGACCAGAATGGTGTTCTCAATTTGTTCATGTCTTCTCTTGTGGTTGATAGCTCAACTCTTAATAGAATAATTTTCTCAAGATCCCCTATGAGAATCACTTCATCCACACTAGAGCTGAAAAATGCTCTTCTAACGGGTATCACTGGGAATTTTGAGAAAGAAATATTTCTAGTAAATGATGAAAGTACACTAATAGTTCAAAACTTGACTTACGAGCAGTCAAGTATGAAGTTATTCACAGTTTTGACTGGGGAAGTAAATATAGAGAAATTGACAGCAAATAACATCTCTAACTTTCACACCCTAATTCACATCTATTCAGCACATACAGTCATGCTAAATAGTCTAATTTTTCAAAATCTTGAGACAACAACTGACTATGTTGTCAAGATAGAAAGCTCAAACAATACCTCATTTGACACAGTGAGCCTTAAAGACTTCAATAAAACTGTGATTTATCTTAGTAAATCCAATGCAGAAATGATTCAGAACATAAATATTTCAAACTGCTTCAAAGCAATGGAATTCATTGAAAGCACTATCAAGCACATGAGAGGTTCTGTGTTAAGTAAAAGTGGAGACCTAAACAATTTAATTACTGGAGGAGCAATAAAAATCATGAACAGTAATGTCAAGATTACAGACACTTCTTTTATAAATAATACTGCTGGAGTAGGAGGAGCCATCGAGTTTGGATGTCAATCAGTAGATCTATGCAGTCTAAAGCTCGAGAATGTAACTTTCAGTCACAATGCTGCATCTGTACAAGGAGGAGCTATCTCTTATAATATGAACAGACCAGAAATACTGAGCTCAGTTTTTGAAAATAACTCAGCTCAGTACGGGCCTGACCTTGCAAGCTATCCAATAAAAGTGAGGATTAAAGATCAGCCAAATACTAAAGTTAAATTTTCAGATATTGGATCTGGAATTTCTATATCCACCCCAATTGTCTTAGCTTTACTAGACTATGATGGCCAAATAGTAAATCTCAACAATGAAGATCAAGTATCTGTGCTATCCCCATCTGGATCCAATTCATCGATTCTTGGTGTTAGTTCTGTGACCTTGGAAGCAGGAATTGCAACAATTGACGGAATCATTTTTGTTGATGAACCGGGGATCCAAAACTCAACTTTCCTGCTCTCTACTGATGCTATTGACAGAGTTAAAGTAAGCACTGTTTTTCCAAGCGAGAACTTCAGTAATGAAATTACAGTAAATTTCAGGTATTGTCAACCTGGAGAAGAGATCACATCAAGTAGAACATGAAGACAATGAGATGCTGGTACATATTCTCTACTCTGGAACTCTACTAGCTGTGATAAGTGAATGAACAATGCAGATTGTCTCGGACAGAACCAGATTAGTGTCAACCCAGGGTACTGGAGAGCAACACAAGAGTCTACATTTATAGCTGAGTGCATCTTCAAAGCTGCTTGTGATGGAGGGTTTTCCAATAATACTACACATCCAGTTCATTGAGCAGCTGGGTATCAAGGAGAGCTTTGTGGACAATGCTATGTTGATCAAAATGTAAAATACAGAAAAGTGTCAAACGTTCAGTGATCTAAGTGTCCAAGTCCGATTCTCAATGCAATTTTAATTGTGGGAGTTGGTGTTCTTGTGTTTGTGTTCGTGATGATGTTAATCGTCATTAATATCAACAAGACAAGAGAGAGTCAGCTTTCAGTTCTCTTGAGGATAATGACAAATTATTTGCAATTAATATTCGCATCGTTATCTCTCTCATCCAGTTATCCAACATCTATGGTAACATTCTTTGAAATAACTGGTAGATTCGGGGATGCTTCCGGCACATTCTTGTCAATTGACTGTTTTGTCAGAGATTATGATATTACAGGACCTTTTGAGTCAAATGCAGTGTTCAAATTATTCCTACTAATGCTACTTCCTATAATATTGTTTGCTGTTGTCGCAACCATTTGGATAGGATTATACTGTCTAAAAAGAAAGTATGTGAAATCCCTCCAAAGAAACTTAGTGATCTCCTTTATAAGTATTGTGTTTCTGCTCCATCCAAAGTTAACAGAGCAAAGCCTCACTCTATTCAGGTGTGTCAAAATAGACGAAGGAGACAGTAGAGTTAGATTGGATACCCATTTTGAATGTTATTCTAGTAATCATTTACTTTGGATTAGCACAATATCAGTCCCAATTATAGTAATCTGGGTTATCTCTTGACCATTAGCTGCTTTAATACTGCTGTATAAATATCTCAAAGCTCCATATGATAACAAAGTAAAGCAATATTTTATGATTTTATACCAGGGACTTAACAGAGACAAATTTTACTGGGAGTTTGTGAATACAGCAAGAAAAATTCTGATTTTGATAATATTCCCATTTTCAACTTCAATGAAAATGCTTATTGCTGTTTCTGGGCTTGTCATATTTGCTCGTATTCAAATCAGATTGCAGCCTTATACAGACACTGAAAACAATAAAATTGAAATCTCAGCTATTAATGCAGGAATCCTCACAATTTTTAGTGGTTTATTATATTCTCAAGATGAAGGAATAGGATTACTAGACACAGCCACTATGATATTCTGTTTAGTCTTGAATGCTCACTTCTTCGTAAATTGGCTCTACCTGCTTGTAAAATCAATGCAGGACTCATCAAAATTTTCCCAATTCGTAAGTCAGCATCCTAACTACTAGCTTTTCAAATTCCTCACCTACCTCCTCTGAAGAGAAAAGGACCAGAAAAAGCCCACCAAAAACAATAAAAACACCTCAAAACCAAAACCCCACAAAACCAAATTCAAAAAACACAAAAGACGCATCGGTCTCAAACGCTCCAAAAAGGCCAAAACCAGACCCAAACCCGAAAGTACGCCCTCTCTAACCCTACAGCCTCCCAAAAATACCCTCCCTCTCACCCAAACAACGACGATGAAGTCCTCTTCTCCTCAAAGAACATCCAACAATACCTCCAACACACCCAAAAAGTACCCCTCTTCTTCACCCTATAGCAAAAATCCAGCTCTAGGCTCAAAATTCTCGATAATTACCCACCAAAATCCCCTTGAGAGGACCCTGCAGGAAGAAAAAAACCTCTAGAGGAAGAAGAAAATACGCCTTTTTATAATGAGATTATGGGCATTTCTGAGAAATCGGAACGGAAGGAATACTCTGTAAGGGATTTTTGAGGGTTTGGAGGAAGGGATAGAGGGGTAGAGAGGGGTTTTGAGGTAGAATGTTGGGAAAAGGGGGAGGTTTAGGGGGAAATGGGGTGGATTAGGGGTCTTAGGGGGTTATAGGGGCTGTGTGAGGTAGATCTGTTTGGTAAAGAGGAAATGGAATAGAGTTTTAGATTATTAGAGAAATTTTTGTATGGGTATTAACCTTAGGTTCTGTGCCTCTGAATTTGTAATATTTAATTAATTATTATAAAGATTCAAAATTACTCTGAAAGGGAAGATGCTTTCGGAAGAGAGTTTTCAGCAAGAATAGGCTTGTCAGAGTCAAGAGATTATTCAGAAAGGAAAGATATGCCCTCAGTTAGAACAAATAGAAGTCTGTTCAGAATACGTAAAGGAATTAAATATACAGACTAGAAATCTATTAGTAATTCTATCGGTAGATCATACCTTGGGGTTTTGGGGTTTTGGGGTTTTGGGGG